GCCCATTCAGGAACCACCTGACCTCAATGTCCCCAGGATAGAAACCATTGACAGAGCAGACAAGCAGGTTGTGTCCACAGGCCTGATCAGCAACGGAGACTGGACCTACCAGATCCTGGTGATGCTGGAAATGACCCCCAAGCGTGGAGACATCTACACCTGCCAAGTGGAGCACTCCAGCCTTCAGAAACCTGTCGTCTTGGACTGGAGTGAGATAGCGCTCCCTCACCCTCCAATTCTAACATTGCCCAGGAGGTGGAGCTGGCTCTGAGATCCCCTCAGTGTGTTTCCTGTACCCTCTTTTCTTCTAGCCTGGGCTGATACAAACCCCATGTGGTGCTACCTACTCTCTCCCCTTTCCCCAGCCCAGGCCCATAATGGCAGTACTGAACTAAGACCTATGGAGACCTCAACCTGGTCAGCCTCCTCACTGGCCCCAGCCCTGGGAGCTGGCCTCCCTGTCAGACTCTGGGATCAGCTTATAGACCCCTTCCCCTGGGGTAGGGGAGCTGGACTGGTGTCAGTGTCCCCTGATGAGCTTTCACTTCCTGAGTCCTGAAAAGCCCTTTGCACATCCATCCCTTCCTTTCTTAGGCAGGATTTAGCCCCTTTTCAGGCTCCCCTCAGACCCTTCTGTTCCCCACATGGGGCTGGCTCCTGGAGGAAAAGTTTTGATCCTTGGTGTCTCTCCTCTGCAGAAGCACAATCTGAATCTGCCAGGAGTAAGATGCTGAGTGGAGTCGGGGGCCTCGTGCTGGGGCTGATCTTCTTTGGGGTTGGCCTCATTGTCTACAAGAGGAGTCAGAAAGGTGAGATCCTCTGGGGAAAGCCCCGAGGCCCCTCTCCTCTGTGATCTCCAAAAGAGAGGATATTTGATTGTGTCACAAATCTGGTCCCAGGTCAGGGGTGAAGGGGTGGTCTGACTCTGGAGTCATGTTTTCCTTCCCTAGGAACTTATAGAAGGTGGTGAAGGGGCCAGATCCCAGGGCTCCAGGGTCTTAGGGAATCCCATATTCTCTAGTAGAGGCAGCCTTGGGAGGGGGCTCAGGTTCCATCCTTTAGCCCCTCCCCTTGCCATTTCCCCTCCCCCATCCACTCAGACAGTTGTAGATGGATGGATAAAGCATCAAATAAGTGCTTCCTCTGTGGTGTCAGGTACTGGGCTAAGCAGTGGTAGGAGCCCCCCGTCCCACAGTGCTCAGAACCTTGTTGCCTTTTGATTCCATGGCTCTAGAATTTACAAAGATTTGTATGTCTGTCTCTCTTCCTTTCCCAGGAAATCGTGGTTCACAACCAACAGGTAAGATCCTTCCACCCAGGTGGCATCAGGGTTCTCATAGCTACAGCCTCTGTCCAGTGGGGCCTAAAGCTGAGAAGAGACTTGGGGGCCCTTAGTGGGAAGAAGTGGTTCTACTTGTGGCTTCAGACCCCCATGGAGACTTTATCTGACTGTTCCTTGTCCTCTGCAGGCCTCCTGAGCTGATCCTGGAGCCTGGAGTGTCTCTTGGAAATGTTGAGTCCCCTCAGCCTCCCTCTCATGTTTTGAGGCCCCCTGCTTCTGGCCAGATCTCCAGGAGTTTACTCCTACTGACCCTTCACCTGACTGGCTCCTTCCCTGTTCCTTTGACTCTGTCTGCACCCTTTGGCATTTCCCCAACAGAGCTTCCAAGACCTCCTCCACCTTTCATAGTTTCTGTACCTTTTTTTAATCCGTTTTTGTCCCTTGAGCCTTCACCCCAAGAATTAGAAGACAGAATCAGCTGGTGCTTGGTGACATGGAGACAAAGTGAGGGGAATAGAGGGAGGAAACTTCAACACCTGGGATTTGTAGAATCTGTCAAAGTGTACAGTGCCTCCAGAGGTGCAGGTTGCATTCCATCCACACCTTTTCATCCTGGGTGCCTCTTGTCCATTTCCTTCCATAATTCCTGCAGAGGTTGAGTAATCTGCATGCTGATGGCCTTCCTCTACATTTCCTGATCTTACATAGATACCACTGGCCCTCCCAGGCTGTCTGACCACAAATCCTTAGCTTTCCCTCAGTGATGGGCCCACCTCATTCTGGTGACTTTCCCTCTATTACTTCTGCTCAGTTCTTTGATAATATACTGTGGCCTATACTTCCCTATCATGTGCCCCTCCATTGCACTTTTAAAAAATTAAAGTTTTAGTAATATATTTTGTGTTTATGTTATATTCATTGCTTAATATATACCTTCCTCTCATAGCTTTTCCTCATAAAAAAATTTTTAGTCAACAATTGCATAATAACCCTCACATTGATCACATATATCTGACGGTCTATGCAACAGTACATACCCATAGTCTTCCCCACTCCTTCCATGAAGTGTTTATTTTCTCTTCTCTGTGGCCAAGCTTGGTAACTATGATTCCATAACATTCAGCATCATTCCCCTCCCCCCCATTTTGTAGTCTTGGGTTTGGTTCTGCTCACACTATTCTGTGTCAGTTCATTGAAGTCTTCCCATGTTTCTTTGAATTTCTCATTTCTGTTGTTTCTTCTGTCACAACACAATTCCATCATGTTCATGTGCCACAATTTATTAGTCTTTTCTCAGTTCATGGGCACCTACTTTGTTTCTACTTCTTTGCTACCACAAAGTGTTGCAATGAATATTTATATATATATATGTGTATATATATATCTCAGATTTTTTCCCCCACCTTTTCTACCCTTGTCATATATGTTAAGCTGTGGGATCTCAGGATCAAAGAGTATGGAGATTTTGATGCTTTTGAGCATGATTCCAAATTGTTTTACACAATTGTCATGCCAGTTCACAGCTCCACAAATAGGGCATCATCTACCTGTCTTTGTGTAGTCCTTCCCATATTGGCCATTTTCATGTGTCATCACCTTGGAAGATTTGCTGGGGAAAAGGTGAAACTTCAGGTTTTGTTTAACTTCCATTTCTCTCATTGTTAGTGATTTCGAGCAAACTTGAGAATTATTAATTTTCTTTGACCTTTTGACAGGCAGAGGCTCTTGGCCTTATAGATTGATGTTCATTCCCTACATGTCTTGGATGATAGACCTTTATCAGAGACATTTGATGCAAAGACATTTTTCCCCATCAGTTTCAGCTGATCAAAATAGTTTTCTCCTCTGGTTTTCCTCTAAGTCTTATTTAGTTAACAATTCTCCCTTTGGCCACAGTTATGAAATCTACTTCCAGCCATTTCCTGGCCCTTTGGTAGAAGTCTGTTAGCTTTTTATTACTAACAATAATGGAATCTCATCTGAGATTCCCCCAAATTAGTGTTGTTTGGGGTAAGTAGAAGGAAATCAATTGTTAAAAATCACCATACCATTTACCCATAATTCTTAGCATGAAATACTTTCTAAATGAGTTATTTTTGCAGTCAGTTCACTGCCATGCAAGGGGTGGGGCTGCCCAGAACTTACCTTTTCCTGATGAAGTTTATGGGAGGCTGTTCTTGACCAGCAGCAGAAGTGTCAGGAGGGGTGGAAATGAGAATGCTGGGCCTCCTCTGCTCTTCATGCAAGTTGGGCTCTTCTCCCCCTTTGGAGAGTGCAGAAACTTGTCAGTGTCAGAGTAGTAAATGGGAGCTGGGGAGATGTGGGGAGAGTGGCAGCTCCCTATAGGGCCGTTGGGGGATGAAGCAGCCAAGATTGCTCAGCTTCTTGTCCTTTTTGTACAGAAATTTCTGAGCAATATTTCAGTTTCCAGGTTCTCATAGATTCTATCCAATCCATTGGAATATTGATCTTTTTCTTCTCCATTAATGAACATTTGGAAGGATGCAGACATTTGTTATTATTCCTAGCATCTAGGCTGCCAAACTTCTTTATTTGGGCTGATATGAATCTTATCTATGAAATCATCATTTTTGGAAACAAAGATCTCTGGAATTTAGGGATATAAAGTAACAGAGAAAGCAATAAATCCCACAGGGAAGCAAGGAGCTAAATGTCTGTTAGGAGCCCGTGAATCCCAAGGAAGTTCTGTTAATCTCTAAGTAACCTGTCCATTTCCAAGAGAATTGCCCCTCTGGCATCTTCTTTGGTGAGAAAGCAATAGACCATGGGTTCAAGGACTTCATTCTTTCCTTTGCTACATTTTCTAGCAATCAATGCCCTTTGATTATAGAGCATCGATCTAGAGTTGGAAGACGCCTCTGAGGCCATCTGGTCTAAACCCTTCATTTTATAGATGAGGAGGGTGAAGCTCCATAAGATTAGTCAAATCAAATGAGTAAGCCTTGATTAAGCGCCTTCCAAGTGCCAAGCACTAGGCTGAGTGCTGGGGACACAAAGAAAGGCAGAAAGTGGTCCTTGCCTTGAAGGAGTGCACAGTCTAAAAGTCAAACAGGATTTTATTTTTGTTCCTTTTTTAAAATTAATTAATTTTTAGTTTTCAACATTGACTTCCACAAAATTTTGAGTTCCAAATATTTATTCCTGTAGGTAGTAGAGGGCCACTGAAGTTTGTTGAATAGGAAAATAACATGGTCTTACCTGCTCTTTATTTTTTAAATAATATTTTATTCCAATTACGTTCCAAAACTAAAGATAGTTTTCAACATTCATTTTTTTACAAGATTTTGAGTTACAAATTTTTCTCCCCCTCTCCTCACCCCTCCCCAAAACAGCAAACAATCTATAGGTAATACATGTACAACCATGTAAAACATATTTCCACATTAGTCATGTTTTGAAGGAAGGAACAGAACAAAAGGGGGAAAAAACATGGAAAGAGCAAAGAAAGTAAAAATAGTATGCTTAGATCTGCATTCAGCCTCCATCAGTTCTTTCTCTGGATGTGGATAGCATTTTCCACCGTGAGTCCTGGAAATACCTGCACTTTAGAAAGAGCAATTTGACATCTGAGTAGAGGATGACCCAGAGTGGGGAGATACTGAGGCAAGGAGACCCCTCAGCAGGCTATTGTAATAGTTCTGGCCTAAGGTCATGTTACATACACACATGAATGACCAGAAAATTGTTGGTGCCCTCATTAAGAATAATGGATTTGGGGGTGGGGCGGGTGAAGAGAAGTTCTCCCTGTGATGTTCCCCACCTCCACGACCCCCTGCCCCTGTTGGTGTTGCAACACAGCTGCTAGTGGCTGCTGTTGTTGCTGTGGAAGGCCCCCTCCCCCCCACCACGGAAGAGCCACCCATGTCAGCCATCCTGCTGGATCATTGCCATTTCTCTCAGATCATCTTTAACTATGTGGAGAAATTTTAGCTTTCTAGAGGAGACATCACACGCTATTACATCCTCACTCAGCATTTCATTCCCCACCAGAAAGACTGTTGGCATCTTTAGTGTAGGATGGAAGACAACCCAAGCATATGACATCTTTGTGGGGACTGCTTTGCCTGCCAATTTCCACAGAAAAGTGTCCTTGCAGCAACAAGTGCAGTTTAAAACTTCCTACCTACCCGAGGACAATGGTGTTGTCTGGGGGGGGGGGGGGCAGTGTCCCTTTCCAGTTTCATCCAGAAAGCGAGGAGGACGTTTTAGTGGTCACCACTCAGGGAGAGGTGGAGGCGATTGAGTAGCTCAACCAAGAACTGTGCCAACAGAACCAGGAGCTGCAAGACACCTGTGTTAGTCTCCAGAAACAGAACTCAGACGTGCGCGGTGAACTCCAAAAGGCTCAGGAACTGCAGGAGAGACTAGAATCTCTGACAGATGTCACTAAGACGTTTAGAGCAGAGGATCACTGTAGTGAATGAGGAGAATGAGGGCCTGAAAGGACAGAAGGACTGTTGGCAGACAGAACTAGCTCAGCTTAAAGTGCAGAACCAGAATGTGTCCTCAGAAAATGAGAAAATAGGCATCAGGCTGAAGACCAGCCTTGATCACCTCGATCAGCTTCAGGCATAGATTTCAGTTCTGCGTAAACAATAATAATGGATCCTTAAAATTCTGTTCATTCCTGATTGCTGAAGAAAGATAAAATCTTCATCTATTAAACAATAGTGGATTGGGGGAAAACGGTTATGAGACATAAGAGAAATGCTATGTCAATAACAAGTCTGGAAAACACTGAATGATAAAACTAGCAGACCTCTAAAAAAATTTTAAAAAAAGAGAAAACAATGAGAGTTGATCAGGAAAAGCACATAGCAGGACACACCAGGGCCAAGGCTACCCTTGATATTACCTTCAGTAGGTTGAGAAGTACGTATTTGAGGATATTACAGTAGTCCCTGGGGGTATAAAGACCTCTCCTGTAGTAGAGAAAATTAGGAATAGAGAAGGAAGAACAAACATGAGAGCTGCCCTGGAGATACATTTAGCAGCACCTAGTAGCTGGTCATGGGACAGGATGGATCAAAGATAACACCAGGATTTCCACAGGAGAGGCTGAGTGAATGGAGGTGGCTTTGACCAAGACAATGAAATCACAAGCTATGTTGTCACATCAAAAAAATTGTTAAGAACATACTGTGAGACAAGCACTCTACCTAGTTGGGGGAATTTAAAGAAAGGCAAAAACCCGTCCTAGCTCTTGAGCTCAGGGTGTAAGGGAGGAGATGGCATGCAAACAGCTCAGTACAAACTAGAGCTTTACAGAGAAAACCGAAGATAACCTGAGAGAGCAGGCACCAAGATGAAGGAGGTCTTTGAAGGGTTTCTTGCAGAAGGTAGGACTTTAGCTGAGGCTTGAAGGAAGGCAAGGAAGCTGGGAG